CCGCGGCGGGGCGGGGGGGGCCGGCACAGGGCCTACGCTGCCCGCTGTCGCCTTGCTCACTCGGCGTGGGGTCCCCGGGGGTGGCGGGAGACCCGCAGCCGGGCCTTCATTTCTTTTTAACACTGTACAGAACAGTCACTTTAGGCCTCGTGGAGGTAGGGACCCTTCAGCCATCTGAACTCTCAAAGGCCTGTGCTGCCTTGAGGGTCAAAAACAGCAGCCAGAGTGATAGAGGGGGGTGGCTGGAAGATAGCTTCCCTAATGCCAATTGCAGGTTCCCAGGTCCCTGGTATTTCCTCTCAAGGGCAAAAATCTGGTTCCAGAAACCCTTCAGGAAGTTGCCTCCCGAGTCCCTAAGGGGCCTCAGCAACGTACAGGAAGGTCCTGGCTCTTGTGTGTGGCCAGCCCCACTGTGTGCAGTCTCAACTGGCAGTAACCAGAGTCAGTCCTGGAGTCTAAATACTCAGATAAGCTTCCTCCCTTACCCCGAAAGCAGAGATGGGGGAGGGAGTTGGGGACAGGGTGGGACTATTGTCATCCCCTTTCCTCCCAGTGTTGATTTCTTTATACTTCACAGCCCAGTGTGTGGTTACCTAGGATGGCTCTCCTTCAAATCCATGCCTGGGTTCTATCCCTTCAGGGCAAGGTCCAGCTCCATAGTCAACTCTTGGGAATGTCCCCACCGAACCCCTTGTAAATCTTTTCACCAACACATGCAACACTGCAGTTGCTATGACACACATAGAAATGTCCACTGTACCCCAACTCTCTCACACCCCAGGGCCGTTGCTCTTGTTTCCCTGGAAGCCCAGCACTGTGCATATAGCCAAACTCCATGGGGAGCCCAGGTTGACTGAAACCTCAATCCTGCCATGAAGGCCTCTGGTTCAGCTGGGAAGATGAGGCAGGGACTGAGCTATAGACTGAGTACTCACTACTGTTAGTGTTGTAGTGTGGCAAATGGACCTGGTTATGTGATATGTCTACATGAAGCTGCATAAAGATCGTTGTGACTTTCCTATGTCTAGAATTATCTCAAAGTTTAGAATGAACACAAGAAAGATGGGGGAGGAAAGGAAGAATGGACATGCAGAGCAAACAGGAACTGTAGATCAGTGACACTGTCCTGTAACATTATTCGGCAATGGTGAACACATACACATCTGCCCAAGCCTATAGAATACAGGCCAGGCATGAACCCTAATGCAAATTACAGGAACAGGGTGATGATGCTGTGCTGACATAGATCCAGCAGTCGTGACGACTGTGCCAGTCAGATTGGGGCATTGATAGTGGGAGAGGCTGTTCCTGGGTGGGGGCCAGGGGTATAAGGAACTCAGACTGTAAAGTCTGTAATGTGGGATTCAGCAGACTTAACCATCATATGCCAGTTGGGCACATGTGTATGCATGTCCAAAATCCAAGATGAGAATGGAGAGGGAGTTGCATCATGGCCATCCCCCTGGGGGCGACTTCTTACTTTCTCCCTTTGTCTCTCTCTCTCTCTCACCAATGTACATGCCCTATGGCAAAACTTAAAAACAAAAAACAAAAACATAAAATTAGTAAATTTTTTTTTAGGTTTGGTTTTGTCACAGAGTGTGTGTACTCACCAGCGAGGAAAGAGACAGAGAGAGGGAAAGTGAGAAATCATCCAAGGGGGGAGAACCACACAGCAATTCCTTCTCCCCATTCTCCCATTCTCCTTTCTGCACAATTTTTGCTGTTAATCTAAAGCTCAAAACATAATTCAATTCAATGTGTTCCATTCCCATCTGAGAAACGGTATAGTCCAATATCATCTTTTTTTTTTCTGAGAGGTTTTTGCTATAGGGTACATGCGCTCACCAGACAGACAGAGACAGAGAGACAAAAAGTGAGTGAAAAATCACCCCCCAAGGGGGATGGCCATACCACAGTCCCTTCTCCTCCATTCTCCTCTCGGGATCTTTGGGCACGCACACACACGTCTAGTGTGAGTTTTAAGCCACCAGGTCCAGGATGTGAACCACGGTCGACTACATGGGAGTCCAGCAGCATAGCCATTACACTAACTGCTGGTCCCCAATATCTTCTTCAATGGCCTTTGAGAACCAGAGATCTAGGCTCCTAGTCTGGGCTGCAAATCCCACCACTTCTAAGTGGAGACATCCCACCTCCCTCCACAACAGAGTTAATCTTACAGAATCTTACAGTAAGTAGAGATAAGAGCAGAGCTACCCTGGTACAGGTGGGAAGGGTCTGAAGTTCTCCTCCCACCACCCCCTAGGCCTCCCATGGGTGCTACTGAAATGCCCCTGACAGACTTCAGAGCTCAGGTACAAATATCACACCTTTGACTTTGTGCAGGCCATGTTGCAGGGTTGTGTTAAAGGCAAATTCAGGCCTAAAGCAATCCCAAACAATAGAAGTATAACATCAGCCACATTTTCATGTTCTTTTGACATTTTAAAAAAAGGTGGCATGATGGTCAAGTTGGCTGGATCCAATATTGGAGACTTTGCAGTTTGTGTTACGGACATGGTAGCTTGAAAAACATGCTGGGCACATGTTCATGCATATCCAAAACCCCAAGAGAAGAATGGGGAAGGGGTTGTATCATGGCCAATCCCCTGTGGATGATTTCTTTCTCTTTCTCTCTCTCTCTCTCTCTCTCTCTCTCTCTCTCTCTCTCTCTCTCTCTCTCTCTCTCCCTCTCTCTCTCTCTCTTTCTCGCCAGTGCACACACCCTACAGCAAAATTTATTTTTTTAAAAAAGTAAACTAAGCTCAGTATTTTATTTTAGGTTTTGTTTGTTTTGTTTTCTTTTGTTTTTGTTGTAAGACATGTGCTTTGGTCAGGGAGGAGAGAGGGACAGGGGATGACTATACAGCAATTTCTTCTCCTCCATTCTCCTCTCAGGGTTCTGGGCATATGTACTCATGCACCTGGCATGATTTTCAAGCCATAGAGTTTGAGACTGGAACCATGGTCAACCACATGGGAATCCAGTCACCTTAACCACCATGCCACCTACTGGTCTCAAAATTATTTTTTTTTAATCACCAGAAAGTGTGTGCATAAGACAGAAAGAGAAAACATCCTGCCATGGGGCATAGTCACGCTTACTTTTTCCTCTATTTCTCCATCACATACACATCTGCCTGGCATGTTTTGCAAGCACCATGGCTCAAATTCAAACCATGGTAAGCCATGTGGGATCCTGTTCCCTATGCACAGGGCATAACCACTGTGCTATGGGGCTGGCCCAAAATTAATTTTTAATATATTTTCTAAAGCAGTTCAGGTGCACTGCAGAATTGAGCAGAAAATACAGAATTTCTATATACTCCTGCCCCTCCCACTCAGATCCTTTCCCACTATCAATGCCCCCTAACTCAGTGTTCCCTGTGTGACAATGGGGGAGGCCTACAATGACATCACCTTCACTACCTGAGGGCTCACACTTGGCACTGTACATCCTGTGGGTTTGAAGGATGTTTACTGTCATGTATCTGCCATTATACTATCAAACGGAAGAGTTCCACTGACGGACAAATACTGTGTGTTCTGCTTTCTCATTCCTATTTTTTAAAAAAACCCTTTTTAAAAATCTACATTTTGGGTCAGTTAGTGGTATGATGGTTAAGGTGGCTGGATCCCACATGGCTGACTGTGTGGTTCTCCCAGACTCAGATGCTTGAGAAACCTGAAGGGAGAAATAAAGGAGAAGGGATTATTACAGGTGACCATCCCCCATGGGGGTGCTTTCTCACTTTCTGTCTCTCTCCTGCAAGAATATTGATCCTCCAGCAAATTAAAAAAAAAATAATAATCAAAGTAACAGGGTTTTTTTTAGTCACAGATTTTACAGACTGAGCATTTCTAATCTGAAAAATCCAAAATCTGAAATGCATTAAAATTCAGAATCTTTTGAGTACAAACATGTTGCCACAAAAAGAAAATTATACCCCTAATCTCATGTGGTGGGTCTCAGTCAAAACACTGCAGTAAAAGCTATGTAAAAACACCTTCAGGGTATGTATAAATATAGATTTTGTTTAGTTTTGGTTCCCATCCCCAAGCTATCTCAGTATGTATATGCAAACAAGTCAAAATCCTTGGGGGTTTTGAGATATACAAAACACTCCTGGCCCCCAGCACTTTAGAAGAGGAATACTCACCCTTCATCTAACCCAGCGCATTCCAGAGCTCATGATTCTGGTGCATGGTCCTGGTTGTGAGCACTCACAGCCACACATGTCAGTCTATTCAGGTACTAAAACAGAATACCATTAGTGAGTGGCTTCCAAACCGCAGAAATATACTGCACATAGTTCTGGGGGCTGGGAAGTCCAAGATCAAGGCACTGGCATATTTGCCGTCTGCTGAGGACCCACCCTCTGGTTCACAGAAGGTATTTTCTAGCTGTTCTAATGGGGCAGCAGGGATGAGGGCTCTCTCTCTCTCTGGACTCTTATCAGGACCCTAAACCCATTCATGAGGGGTTCTGCCCACAAGACCTAATCTCCACCTGAAGGCCTCACCTCATAATACCATCACCCTTGGGTTTTTTCAACATGTAAATTGGGGATACAGACATTTAGATCCAAGTACAGGAATAGCTACAATGGAGACTGCTCTGAGGCCTTGCCTTGTGGGTAGGAGCCACCAAGTAAACAGCACCTTTCGCTTAGAGTCCTGTGGCCATCTTTTCACCTCAGCTTGGAGCCTCAGAAAGTCCCTCTTCTGGGTACTCAGGAATGAGAACAGAGCAGCAGGTGCATTCTGGAGATAAGGTCTGTCAGCTTTTGTCTGCTGGCCTGCAGCTGCCCTGAAGGCTGGCTTGCAGCCATCTGAGAAGCTCCAGGCCACCTCCAATCCTTGTACTCCTCCCATGCATCCTGTGGATGGGAGAAGACTCTGTCCTCCCAGGGGAGCAGGGGGGTCTGGAGAGTACTCCAAAACTGAGAACAGAACATGCTGTCAGCAGGACCAACAGCTTGCCAAGAGGGACTTAGGATCTCACCACATCATGCCCAACTTCTGGGGCCCTGGGCTCTGCTGTCTGCTCAGGACCTTGCCATGTTCAGCCCAGCCGCCAGGGTCCTGGGCTCTGCTCTTGGCTCAGGACCCTCCATGTGAGCAGCAGGAACAGCTCAGCAGCACTAAGGGCTGGGTACTGTTGGTTGTTTTTTTCCATTACCATTGAGTTCTTTTCAGTTACAAATTTCCAACTTCCTTCCTGGACATTCTGAGGCAGTTTGGGTGTGCCTTTCAGGGGCACAAAAGAACAAGAGAATCCAGAAATGATGTGTCCTTGAGCCTCAGTGTCCTTGTCTCTAAGGTGGTACCACCTTCCCCTGCCTCTACACAGGGAGTAAGGATTACTGTCAAAAAGGGACATGAGAAGTGTTTGTCAGAGATGATAAAGAAACAGGTGTACAACAAACTCACAATGCTGCAGTCTTGGGTGGGGGTGAGGGTGAACCTGGGAGGGGACATAAAAGGGAACTCACTAATCACTGTATGGGATGCCATTGCCTGAGGACCCCCTGGCCAGCACCTGGAAGTAACAGATGAGTAAAATCTCCATCCAGATAGTGCCCCACCCCCACTTCACCATGAACCCCATTGCCAGTCAAAGATGGGCTGGGAATGTAACAGTGCTGGGATGAATCTCTGAGACTGTCAACCTCAACTCTATATATTCTACGGAGAAGAACTTGGAGGCTATTCACAGGGTGTAGCCTAGAGGCAGAGTGAGGTACAAACGCCAGATTACATGCCCTGTCCTGGCCACCTGCCCATGAAGCCCTGGTAATAGGAGAGTCCCCATGTGGCCTCATGCCGAAGTGTGAGTCTGGGGCTGGTAGAACATGAGATGGTTGCTTCCCACAGGGAGCTCACACTTAAGACAACCCAGTCTACACTTGCAGAATTGCAGAACCTGGGAAGGAACCATAGAAGTCACTCAGGTGTAACCCGAGCCTTGTTCCTACCCAGTTCTGTTTGACATTGTAACATCCTTAGGTGTCCTGAGTGAATCAGCAACTTTGAGCTGGTGTTTTCTGGTCTCTCTGCCAAGGATCCTCCTTTTCCATCCTTTCCCCCCCACCTACTTCCAGGGATCCCACCTTCAACACAGTATCTCCCCTTATCTCTCATGTTACAGGTGGTGGGCACTAACACCTTGAACGTTGTCTATTCTGCATGGATTTGGGACAACTTATCACAGTGCTAGGGATGTATTTCAATTGTGGCATTTGTGATGCTGGGCAGGCAGGGACAGTCATGGAGCTAGTCCCAGGGGGCTGCAAACATCTATATCTGGGTCTGGCTTTGCTGCTTGTGGTCTGTGGTCTTATATTCATGGGGTTGGGTTAAGTTTTAATATCAAGACCTGTGAGAAAGGATCAGGTTTCTGACCACAAGGAGACAACCACAGATGATCATATTGCACTCAGTTTAAAACTCTTCTGAGAATGAGCCCAAATTCTTAGCATGCCCTAAGAGCCTGGCATGATCTGGCCCCTTACTAACACTCCAATGTCCCTCCACATCACACTCCCCACAGTGCTCAACCTCCATCACACGGGCCTTTGCTCCCATCCTCAGAGCTAGCTGTTCCTGCTTATCTGCCTGCCCCAGGACCTTACTCACAGTTCACCTGGGAAATGTGGATTCTTCTTGTCCAGCCTTCACTTGGTGGCTCCAACTCATTTCTCTAACCCCAGGTCCAGCATCCTTCCTTGGAAAGGTCTTCCCTTAGCCCGGGCAGATCTGGTATCTCCCTTACCCACTTTTGCTGGATCTCCTCATGGCTGTTAGCAGTGTTTGTGATCTCATTGTGACCTAGTCATAAAGGTGTGAGTGCCCTTAGTCATTTCATCCTTCCCCTCCAGGTTGTCCTCTGCTCTGTAATAGCTGGGGGACTTGAGTATGGCACAGGCTGCCCCCCACACATGTGCCTTGATTACATAAAGATCCAGTGTTACGGCCTGAGTAATTCTGGGTAAAGAGATCTGGTATTTTGAGCTCCTTGACTTCCCACAGAGTAAAACTTGCCTCGTTAAGACTGTGAATTTCTAAAAAAAATAAAATAAAAAAGTTTGCAAAGGCCATTTACTCACATTTATTTGGGAATAAATGATTCTGGACCAGTACTTTTAATATACAGATAGGGAAACTGAGGACCTGATGTCAGGGTGGGAACACAGCCTCGGAGGGGTAGAGCTGGTTATAGAACCCAGGTACTTCAACTCTCAGTTAGTGAATGGGACAATCCTGAAGTTAGACCAGTCAGATAAGGTTTTCCTTCACCTCAAGAGCCAGGTAAGGGTGAGAAGCAATCTGGGGATAGGGCAGAAGTCTTGTCACCCCCTTTATTCCCAGTGGTGATTTCTTTATGTTTCGTAGCCCAGTGTGTGGCCACTCATTACTGTGTGCTCATGTCACACAATACAGGGAATGAGATAGAGAAGTGGGTGTTAGACCAGCCCCCTGTGTTTCCAGGACTACTGTTTCCCTTGCGCCTTTTGTACTGGCTCCCCAAACTGAAATACCCCTCAACCTAGCTTCAATGACTAAGCTTTCTGCTAATGAGACCCTCTCTCCCCTAAGGGGTTTACAGTGCACTGTGGAGTTCAGCAGCTCCTCAGCAGATCTGGAGTTAGTCTTAGAGGAAGAGGCTCCCTGCTAGGAGGTCCTCTTCTTGCATTCTCCAGGTAGCACGATCCTAAGGAATCCATTTCTATTTTTTTGTGGGAGTGCCCTGGCACTATTACACCCTGTAGAGTGTTCCCCAGATGTTAGCAAGTTTCCAGATTATTTTATGTCCTTTAGTTACAGGGTGAGGGGGTTTCAGTTAATGTCCGAATTGCAAGGTAGCAAATGCATGACCTCATATGGAAAGTCTCCAGTCCAAAGTCTCAGCAGTCATCATGAGAGGCACTCAGACTTTAGCTAAAAAAAAAAAGAAAAGAAAAGAAAAAAAAAAAAAAAAAAAACAGTGAATGCTGGAACCAGTAGCATAATAGCTATGTCAATGTAGTTGAACATGGATCGAGTCCCAGACCTGTTGGCTTAAACTCACACTGGGCATGTGTGCTAGCGTGCCCAAGATCCCTACAGGAGGCTGGAGGAGAAGGGATTGTAGTATGGCCAACCTCCCCCCTGGGGTGAGGGGTGATTTCTCACTTTCTGTCTCTTTCTCTCTCACTGAGCACATGTGCACTATAGCCAAAACCTCTCCAAAAACAAAACAAAACAAAACAAAACAAAAAACAGTAAATGCTCGCAAAAAGCTCTTAGATGAAGAATTTCTCCCTACCAAGCTCATATTATGCACTGTGTAGAATCTGGCATCTTCCTGGTTTTCATTTAGCATGTCTATTAAAAGGATAGATTTTTGGTTTTGTTTTTGGAGAGGTTTTTCGCTATAGGGTGCTTGCGCTCACCAGACAGAGAGAGACGGAGAGACAAAAAGCGAGAAATCACTGCCCAGGGGGGATAGCCACGCTGCAGTCCCTTCTCCTCCACTCTCTTCTCAGGATCTTGGGCATGCACGCACACGTGCCCAGCGGTCTGGGGCATCGCCCCACACGGGCCCAGCATGAGTCAAAGCCACTGGGTCAGAGACTCAAACCGCGGTCGACTACATGGGAGTCCAGTGACATAGCCATTACGCTAACTGCTGGTCCCTTAAAAGGATAGATTCACATGATTTCTCTTTTGTAGTCCTAGACTTAGAGTCAACAAGCACATAGATCCCTGTGTGCTCATTCCCCAGATAGGATGTACATTCCATAATACAATCAGGTAAAAGATTCACATCCCACGAAGCATGCCAAAATGCACCAACTCTCCTCTCACTGAATTCCATTAGCCCTTAGTTTTCTGACTGGAAGCTCTAGTTGGACTTCATCAACAGGTTTGGTTTTATAATATTAGGTGAAAAGTGGTGCCCAGTCAGACATAATGTCCATTTCCATAAAACATGCAGGCTGAGGAGATACTTCTTGACATAAAGCTTGCTTAAACATTTTGATTTTCACAGCACCATCAATGCTTCCTCGTTAGGTTCTCTGCTCTACCCTCAGAACATGCCCTATCTTGTGAAAAGGATTCAGTTGCCCAGCAGGGGCTTGAGTTATGTCCTCCTCTCAATCTTTATTTTCATTAACCTACATGATGATTGCCCTAGGCAATTTCTTATCAGATTTCTTATTCTAATCTCTGTCTTTAGACTTTTTTACTTTTTCCAAACTAAGGTAGATATCACAAACTTCTTTGGAACACCTTACTGTTGGGAGACCAGCAGGGGCTGTCTTATGTCTACCAAAGATTTGATAATGTTAAGTCCTTTGTTTTAACCCCATCATCAGTTTGCATTTTATTTAGCCCATTTATTTTCTTTCTTGCTTTCTTTTTTTTTTCTCCCAGAGGGTACATGCACTAGCCAGAGAGAGACAGAAAGCAGGAAAGTGAGACAGCATCCCACATGGGGAACAGTCACTCCATTACTTGTGGCTGGATTTCACCTCCATTTCTCAGTCCTTTCAGGATTTGGGGCATGTATGCACACATGCCCTGTTTGTCTTCCAAGCTGCTGGGTCCTGGACTTGGATCATGCAGTTGGCCATGTGGGATCCAGCAGCTCTAACCACCACACCCACTGGCTGACCCAGTAATATCTTCTCTTAAAATAAATCAATGCACTGGCTTCAAAGTTATTAACTGTGTCAAACATGCTCTAGATTAAATATAAATATGAAGTTAAAATGCTTCTGTTAGACATATTTCCTTTGGTAAATGTGGCACATATCATATATCACCTAGACAAAGTGCTCAGGTCTTACTATGGTCTAAATTTGGTCTCATTGATCAAACAATGGACAATTTGAGCACAAAATCACTGACAATAATAGATGAAAACACATCGAATAAAAATTCATGAATCTGCTACGAGCAAATGGCATAATGGTTATGTTGCTGGACTCCCACATAGTCAACTGTGGTTTAGTCCCAGACCCAGAAGTTTGGAATTTATGCCAGGTACATGTGCATGTATGCCCAAAATCCCAAGAGGAGAATGGAGGAGAAGGAACTGTGGCATGGCCATCTCCCTGTGGGGGGATTTCTTGCTTTCTGTCTCATTGTCTTTCTCTGTCTCTCCAGTGAGCACATGTGCCCTATAGAAAGAATCTCTCTTCAAAACAAAACAAAACAAAACCTCATGTATCTATAATGATTGATCTAAGTTAAATGTCTCCCCTCCCATAAATATGTGTTGGCAACTTAATATCCAAAGCAACAGTGTTGGGATACAGGCCCCAGTAAGAGGAGCTTGGGTAATGGGGCCAGGCCCCTGAATGTGCTGTCATGGTAGTTAGATCCTTGTCAACATGGCTTTGCTCCTTCTCTCCTGTGTACTCTTCGCCTGTCTGTTTCTGTCATGAGATGACACAGAAAGAAGGCTCTCATAAGATACTGTCCCCTCCATTTTGTGCTTTCTAGACTTTAGAATTTTGAGTAAATACATTTCTCTTCCTTTTTTTTGGGGGGGGAAATAACACTGAAAGGGCTCAGAGGTCCCTGTAAGAAGCCACAGTACAATAAAAGAAAAATAACCTCAGAGAAACTATACAGAAATGACCTCTGGGGAGGCCAGAATAACAGCGTCAGCCACAAGATGGGAATTGCTGATTCCCTGTGGCCTACTTGACAGGGTTTCATGAGGGTCTCTGCTGAAGCCCTCAGCACACTCTGTGGATACCAGGCTGTCCCCATATCTTTCACAACTGAGGAACCCATGGTATTCACAGTCATGGATCCCAGTGACCTGTTCTGCAGCTTCTGGGGTTGAGGAAACCAGCAAGCAGCACAGCTACTGTAGACCCTGCAGCTTTCACCATCATGGCCCTCATTTTTCTGGCTTCACAATCTGCAGGTTTACCTTCTCGTTCCCTGGAGACACTGAAATCAGCCAGACTGCTGCTTCTGTGGTAACTCCGGCTCAGGGGACCAGCCCAAGCAGCTTTCATGGTTCTCCAGACTGGCCCCTCTGCCCTGTCATTCCCCTCCACAATCTGGAGCGGCCTGAGGTGCTCCTGCTGCGGGTACGGTAGCCCATGGACCCAGGACAGAAGCCCTAACATCCTCCCGGTGCCTACCTCACCACCTGTCCATGGAACCACCCAACCTCCTGCCTCTATATTTTCTCTGGCCCTACCACATTCATACCCACCAACAACCCTGGCTCCCCCATCACAAGTCCCACTCTAACACGATGCATTACCAAGTCTGACTCCTGTAGCCAGACAAATGTGCCTGCCACCTCTAGTGCCCATAGCTGTGTGTGCATAGCAGCTAGTCCTCTCTCATATGCCGACCTCAACACCGCCTTTTATCGATAGCTGGTCCCTACAGCTGCACATGCAGGTATACCTCCAACCTGGACATGCCGATACCCACAAAGAGACAGCCTAACCCTGTCACTGGCTGCTGCAATTGTGCCTGGTTAAGCTTCCAGTCCCTAATGCCATGTGTGTTTCTGAGGTTGGTCACAGGCCCTGTCTCTGTTGCCATGCAAGTACCTACAGCTGGCTTCCACAGTGTACAGAGACCCCAGAAATAAACCCAAGTCTATATGGCCAATGAGTTTTTGACAAGGGCACCAAAAAGACAAAACAGGCAAAAAAAAAAAATCTGTTCAATAAATGATTTGGCAAAATGTAGGGAGCAGGCTGCCTCTGAGCTGAACAATGGTGACCTTTAAAGTCAAGCAGAACACAGACTTACTTGTTGGGTCTATGCTGCACAACCAGTGGAGGTTAAAGGAAACTATGTTTCAGCAGAGAAGGCCAGGGGAGGCTTGTTTAGAACTGCAAGATGGGAAAGATGCTCCACAGCTGCAGTCAATAATAGAAAACACCTGGCTTTACCTTCCTCCTCTCCCTTCCCCTTGCCCTGTAAAAGAATAAACCTGACAACGACTCCATGCTGCAGCAATCTCCATCAGAGATGCCCAGTCTGCCAAACCCCTGCTTTTCTCTACTTGTGTGTTTATCTGTTTTCCAGATCCACCACTGCTTCTGCTTGGGGTCCAGGTCTCCCTGCCTGGCAGGCTGAGGCAGCAAAACTATATGCAAAAGAATGACACTGGATGCATAAAGCATACAGAAATCAACTCAAAATGGATAAAAGACCTGAAGTACCACCTGAAACTATAGAACTTTCACAATAAGGGGGAAGAGGCCAGCAGCTGGTGTGTGCTGGTAAAGGCATTTTACTCCCACATGGCCAACCTTGTTGGAGTCCCAGACTGAGTGGCTTGAAAATCATGCCAAGTGCATGCCCAAAATCCAAAGAGGAGAAAGGATTGCTGTGTGGCCATCTCCTGTAGGGAGTGATTTTTCACTTTCCCTCTCTCTCTCTCTCGGGCAAGTGCAGACATCCTATCTCACCAACGTACAACAACAACAAAAATACAGGGAAAAATCTGTTGTCACTGGTGTTGGGAATGCTTTTTTTGATTACCACACCAAAAGCACAGGCAACCAAAGCAAAGCCAAAGACATGAGACTTCCTCAAAGTAAAATACTTCTACACAGCAAAGAAAATAATCAATAAAACAAAAAGCATTCCACTGATGGAGAGGAACTACTTTTTTTTTTTTCAAGAGAAATTTTTGTCATAGGGTACATGTGCTTGCCAGAGAGACAGAGACTGAGAGACAGAAAGTGAGAAATCATTCCCTAGGGGGTATGGCCACACTGAAATCCCTTATCCTCCATTCTCTTCTTGGGATTTTGGGCACGCATGCATACGCACTTGGCATGAGTTTTAAGCTGCCAGGTTCAGGACTCGAACTGCAATTGACTACGTGGGAGTCTGGCAACATAATCATTGCACCACCTGTTGGTCCTGGAGAAAAACTATTTTAAAGCTGTATATATGATAAA